GGTTAGAAGCCAGAAGTCAACTGCCGGTTAATAGACTTTTTTGCCGTATGAGTATACGTTGCCCAAGGTGCACCACGTGGAAGTAAGTCTATCGCACACCCTGTATCTTTAAATGTTCAGCGATCCAGTTGGAAGATAGGGAATTAGTGTGAAGATGGAATATTTAAAAAAACCAGTCTAACTGGCTTTCAGGTTTTCCAAGCAGAAGATGGTGCCTAAGTGTGTCAGACACTTTCTCCACTTGAATTATTCATACTGCATTAGGTATCAGCTTTAATAATGTCCTATTTTGAGGAAGAATTGAGTTTGGAAAATTGTACAACGTACGGCATTCTTTAAAAGTATTTGAAAGCATTGCTTACGAGTATACACTTTCATAAGTATGAAATGGTAGATACACCTATTCTTAAATGTACTTTCTAATGAATTTAGTGAGTAACATTTACTTAGGCGTTGAACAAGTTCGCTTTCAGCTTTACATATAATTGTGGAAGATAGCTTTGTATAAAATATGGAAAAATTTAACATTTTGTTACCCACAAGTTAGCTTACCTTCCTCTACTGCCTTAACTGGATTTAACTTAGTTTTCTTCATATTTTATTATGGAATTTGAGAATGGTAAAATTCTAATAATATCATTGTCACAATTTTTCAAGCCATTCAAAAGCCATTTTCTAAATATTAAAATTAAAGTCTGCCTTTACTAATGAGAATTATTCACAAATTTGGCAATCAATTATTGTCACTTTCCCCGTTTATTTATTAAGCCAATTATTATTATTATATTTGTTGACGAATGCATTTTTGCAATTACTTAAGCATTCCAGGAAGATTAACCAGAATTGAAAAATAATGGGAATTTTACCTCATCAGTATCGATTGAAGAACTATTTGCTCCATTTGTGTTTACTCCAATTGTGTAATTCAAATTAAATTTAATTTGAATCTGATGAAAGACATTGTGATATGTGGGGATTCGAAGAACCAGTATTGTGTAAGGGTTGAAATAAGCAGTCACCCACTGATAGGTTAAAGGGCATTATCTTCCTGCTAATATTCGTTTGAAATTAAAGCCCCGTGCCCGGTCTTATTAAACGGACTGCCTTAAGATGTAGAATTTAAGCAACTTCCAACTGAAATCGAATCTATTGATTGGTCCAACCTCACTGTGGAATCAAGAATTCAAGTTAAACTGGTTTTCACAGGTCTCTTTTATTTAAGGTATTACTCTTAACCTTTGTATAGGCCGCATGTATTTCACTAAGCAATAATATATGTTTGATATTTTAATTTTGTCGATATTTTATTTCCCATAGTTTTATTATAACTAGAAAGTATGAAATGACCTTGAGTATGGAAAAAATTAATCTGGTGATTAAATGTTTTCGTTAAACGAAAATTGAATGACATATTTATAAGTTGTCATTGAATATCTTATCTTTTAAGTAGCACATAGGACATTGGATAAATGAATTAATAATAAGAATGTATGTCACATTTATCAACTCTTCAAAAAGTTTGTATTTTTGTACGGGGAAAGAGTGTGTGTGCGTGCGCGTCTGTGTGTGTGCGGAACGATCTAAAATGTGTGATTTGCTGATAAGCAACAGCAAGCCAGTATCAGATATGAGCTCAAAGGATTGGCTACTTGACCTGGTGAAGAAGACGCTAATAGGCCTTTCGCTGCATTTAATCAGTTGACGTCAATGCGCACACATATCAGTACGCCAAAAAGATTGCACAAACTACACTTTAGGCATACATTTTCACGGAAAGCTATAGCAATTTTACAATCCCTGTCCTTTTCTCTCAAATTCCTATCCATTTTCGTAAGTTTTATTAATTCTGAAAGGGGAAATTATGCCATAGTTTTATTGGATTTTCCACCTCGAAATTTTATTGCACAAAACGAAATTATCACTATTTATTTGATATTTTTGGATTTCTTATGCAGATAGTTTATATAAGAATCGATCAATCGATATTTTTGACATTATCCTTGGCAATGAGCAAATTGTTTCTTAACATTTTTAGCACTTTTATTTATAATTTTAATATTGTTAATTAAATCGGATATGGTGCGATGTCTTTAACCACTACTAAATCATATAAGTAGCTTAAAGTTAATTGATGTAAAATTTTAATATCTCTTTTTAAATTTATTTAATTTCAGCCCATATGAGCAAATTTGGTGCCATAACAATAAATACTTTTCTTTAATTGTCAGAGCAGACGAAGTTGTCGACATGAATTCAAAGCCACTTTCCATTCGTGGAACAAAGTGTCATATTTCGGAAGCATTAGCAGATGAAGTTAGTGACAACAATAGTAGCGTTTTCGTTGCGTCCCCACCAACGAATCCCGATCATTTGTCACCGCCTCCACGTCTACGAACAAAGATTCCTAATGGAATTACTTCCGAGAGAAACTCAGTTAGTAATGGCAGTTCTTTCAATCAAAGATCAACTTTCAAAGGAAATTGTAAGTCCAAATAATTGATTTCTTGGCCTTGATTATAACAACTTAGAAAAGCAGTAATAGCATGCTACGCTGGTATGATTTGACACACATTTGAAAACATCTGACCGATAATGGGTTAGATGGATATCCGAATAAATTAACAGCTACAATAATCCTAGCAGTTCCTCCAAATTCCGGTATTTATTTTTCTGAATTTCCATATTGGATCATATCCAGAAGATGATACCCTATTTCCGCGTTGAACAAAAATCTATAAGCGTCCTATTTCTGATCAGCCGAATATACTTCCAATTTCGAAGGTTTTCTTGAAAAGTATCGTTATTTATTTGTGCCTTCACTTAATTTGCATTATGAGCCATAAAATCTTTCATCCTCATTCCAACATTTCCACATTTGAGGGCCTTCTAATTTCTTTGGCTTTAATTGAGAATTCGTTGAAAGAAATAACCAAACGCATCAACGATACTTGAAATACCTTATATGAGACTAAAATCACAGTTTTTCATTCCTCATATCACCCTGTTTGGGTCATTCGTATCTATACTAAATTTTCACAATGCTATCGAATTTTTCAAAGCCGATTTTAATTATTGTGACTATTTTTTGCACTTACTATACCAGTACATATTACCTTGTGACAGGAGCCAATTTTTAACTTTCAAATTAATATTTCAAAGTAATCCAATAATTAAAAGTTAACGCTAACTTTTATATTCCTTATGGGAATTGATTAATCGATTTCTTCCCCTATGGTAGTTAAATGTTAAGCAAAAGTTTGGAATTTATAGCAGTTTTTTTAAAAGCAGTAAAAGTATATATATCATCTAGATTGTCTTCCTTTACAGCAATTGGAAGACATCGTTTGAGCCAAGTATTTGCACGTTCCACACCCGACATCAATATGGAAGTTCGTCAAACTAATCCAGTGAGTAATAATCATAAATTTCCTATATTGAGTTATGAATAAAGCCGTAATAAATTTGAATTGAGAAAACAAATAATTTGTCATAGAAGAACAGAAGGCCTAAGTGGAGACGGGAGAGATCAGTTGACCATTTAGGTCCTGATATGGTAGGTATCAAACCAAAATTGCTTGTCTTGGTGCTATTCTAACGCCATTGTGTGAAACAATAAACCCCTTTAAACAGTCAATTTCTACTCTATTAAATGGCTTAAGAATTCTTTTTTATTTTGCTTTCAGGTGCAATTAGAAAAACTACAGAATCGGCTACGTTGTTTTGAGAATGGAAAGCTTCCGAAAATCCCACCCGAACTGTACGACTACTTTCCACAAAATCTTCCTCCCCATGATTTCACTGCAATCGAAAATATGTGGAATAAATTAACTTCAAATGGTACTCAGGAAAGTGATTGTGGGTCGAAAGTGAGTACCCATAATTTAATCACATCAAGTTACTAACAAATATCTAAATTAAATTTTTTAATTTCAGGGCCAATATAAAAATAATAAGGATCAGCAACTCTCAGCCATTTTGGAACTTCTCCACACAGAAGCCTGTTACATCAAAACCCTTGAAATGATAATCAATGTAAGTTAAATTGCATTATCTAATGGGTTATTTACCACATCTAGGCTAATTTATATATAATACTAATTGATTTTTCAATCTACCACATTTCGCCAATGAAGTATAGAGGCGCACTAGCATTGGAGCGTGTGTTTGTGAACAGTTTGCTATAATTTAAGGTCATTTGCCAAAAGAGTGAAGGCGATGTGAGTTTTCAACTACTGATTATTTGAGGTTAGTAAATGTGTGTTTGAACAGGCGTCACATGCACAAAGTGTAAGTCGTAGAGCGGTACTTGTCACTCGGAGGTGACGATTGTAAATGCTAATTTTTGTTGCTTTGATCATCGACAGGAAATCACATCTAAGTAAAATCGACTCGTGAAAGGTTTTACTTAGAAGGCTAGGTACAGGAACCAGTTTGGGCAAAAGATCCTTCCTTTTCAGCTAACTCAGCAAATCTTGCTTGGTCCTTGAACTGAAATAGGCTTGCATTATTCGAATAATATACCGTGGGCTAGCATAAAAGAACGAAGCTTTCAGGCAAACTAATTCACCAACAAGAAAAATCCAAACTAAGTTCCAAAAGTTCCTGATCTTTTGAAGGAAAATGTTATGTCTCTGCAAGAATAACCTTTTAATTATACAATCTTTCTAACTCGTATGTCCTCATTTTGATAGAAGAAAAAAATTCTATGACTTTAACAAAGGCAATATTGAAGGATTGGGGGGAGAGGGAGGGGGGGGGGTTTCAGATTTTTAAGCATGATAACCCTATGCTCTAATTGGAGTTTTCCTAATAACAGGTGCACATTGCAGTCTACTTGGATCTGACAAAATCCACCGTCTCAAATTCAGTGTATAATCATCCCTACAGTGGTGGTTCCCTTAGCCGTTTGGGAGATCCAATATTTCCAACCGAATTAGCATCTTCTGGCAGCTTTACGAGTAGTGTTTCCAGCGGTACAAACTCATCCACCCTTGGTGGTATGTTTCGACGTATGCGAGGCCGCGGAAATCATGACTACACCACTCCAACCCTTCCTCAAGCCTCCTCATCCTCTTCCCTCAATAACCTCTCCGTTTTAACCCTCTCCGAACATCCTAGTTTTTCTGCCCCTCCTGTTGAAAATGTCTTTGGAAATATTGGCTCTATCTACCGAGCCAACCACACCTTTTGGAGTGACTGTTTTAAACCCGGAATCATCAATAACGAGAGTCTGGATGCCAAACTCTGCATTGAAAGCATGCACAAAGCATTTTCACAGGTAGGTGAAGTTTATTGATCATAACTCATGATTATATAGGTTTTGTTATTTGTTTGCTCTCTAAACTACGCTTGATTGCATTCGTGTTCTCGCTGACAACCTGTTAGAGAATCGTAATGGAATCCCACTTGTTTCAAAGCAGCTCTCGTTCAATGAGTTCACGAATAAAAATACTCGGTGTTGTTAATTTTAAGCTTACTTGATCAACATACAGAAACAAAGTAGATTTTTTGGAGATTATGTCCAAACTTCAGCTTTCGACCTACTAAATTCAATGGGTTATATTTTTTCGAACATGCGAAGTGGCTAACCTCGATTGAATAGCCAGAAAGTCAAAGATCTTAGCTCAAATGAATTTTGGAAAGTTTGCGTTGTTCAATTTCAAATAAGGAGCTTGGCTTTCAAGGCTCTAGAGGAGGGCGAAAGTAAGTGGTCGCTGAGTTATCGTGAAGGCCCTTCTAACTCCCTCTCATTTTCACCGCGCAGGCGAGGAATGACTTGTTTAGGTATTATGCCACTAAAACACAAGCGTTGCCATGGCGTCCACACATGCACTTTTGAGGAGAACTGAGGGTTGGGGGGGGGGGGGAACAAGTAGGGTGATTAAAATGAAAAGAGTCGAGTTTGACTACTTTTTCTGGGATGAGTTCACCACCACCTCGCTCAAATAATTTTGAGCATTTTGGCTATGGCCAATCTTGCCACGTTAATCCATTTTTTATACTGTCGAAGCCATGATCAGGTAGATGGAGTTAAAAAAACCAGTTAACCTCTCATCTAAAGTGATTTCCCATTTATATTTTAATCGGCAACATGCCAGTAAAAGTAAATTTTTCATTTTTATTGTCAACATTACATAACTTCCATTCTAAATGATTTGCTTTTTGTTTCCTTTACTACCACTTCAGTTCAAGATTTATTTCGAACCGTATGCCCACTTTTTGGAGGCCTACAATACACTTGTATCCAATATCAGACACTTGGATGAAAACAACAAATTCTTCTCTTTGTATCACGAGGTAAGTGAAGCTACCTTTCACTTAATTTATTCTGACAAGCTTATCTGTCACCCGGTCTAGCTATCTGCACGCACGATCTATAACTGCTTAATTTGTATCAAAATTTTAATTGAATTATTTTAATTTCAGTGGACGAAAACAAAAAATACCTTGAACTCACGGGAAAGTCTCAGTGGGTTATTAGCACAACCGTTCCAAAGGCTGACAAGATATGGAATTCTAATCAAGAGAATTAGGGAGTCAACAACAGATGAACACGAAATCGCTGCCTTGACCGAAATGGTATGCGATACTGCCTCAAATTTCAAAAATACCTGATTATAAGACGGAAATGAAACTTGATAATCTTTTACACGTTTTAGATTGATGCTGTAGATGATTTTGTCAAGGAAGTCGATATAAACCAACCGGAACAAGAAGCAAGGGCAAAATTGAACGACTTTATTCTGAGAATTCACAAATACACCTTTGCTGATACTGTTCGATCCGATTTAGATGTGGAAGTACCAGTTTTGTCCACGGATATTGGTAACATTCTCCGTCAACCAATGAAAATTAACGGGCGAACACACACACGCAAACCAATTGCTGAAGTACAGGCCAAGGTCAAGTATATAGGAGGAAAAGTGAGTCGTGCAATTGTCACATTTTTGCGCCAATATACTTCCACTTGACGCGTTCCAAAATCAATAATCTAATCTAGGTTTAGGAAATAGCTTATTAGATTACATTAAAAAATGCAAGCCTTTGGTATTATCATGGTCTTTATTTAAAAATCATAATAAACATAAGGAAATTAAAAGGGGTGTGGGAAAAATATTATTAAGGCATATTAAATTTAATTCGTATGATGATAACCATGTGTCCTTAATATATTCAGTCTAAAATATGACTTTCGTTTGAAGGACAGATTTACTTAAATTCATAGCCCGAAGTAAAAATAATTCAGTTGCAAGGATTTTAATCGTATTAAAATTAAATGCACAAAATGAATTTAAAGTTGTTTATCGAATTCTAGTGTTTTACACCTATGAACCGCATCGAGGTATTGTGGAGGGGGGAGTTAGAAGATAAGTTGGGGTCTTTCACCCGACGTCATCAAATGTCAAGTGAAAATTTATCCAGTTTATACCGATTGTTTGTCTTTTGCGAAAATGGATTTAAACATCTAATAAACTTAACTTCTTCAAATTCTTGGTTCCCTATTACATTATTTTTATTTTTTATCCTGGTCACTTCACCAAAGTGATCTAGTAGAGGAGTGTGCTTTTGTAGAACTTTTAAACACCTCAAAAGAAAGAGAATGACCACCTTCTTATTTATTTTCCATACACGTTTAGGATCGGCATTTGTGGCGTTAGCAGATTTACTATTTAACTTGTGCGCCTTCATGTCTGAGAATCGATTTTTTATTAAATGGATTATTTCCTCGCCACCCAGTGTGTGTGTGTGCTGCAGGAAACTCTTGCTTAGTTCTTTAGCATGCACGACGAAGTATCATTCGCGGCTGTTTTTAATTGATTATCCATATATTCACTTGAACCGCTTTAATTAAATTAGGAGAATAATTGAGAACTTTTGCACTATTTGGATATGTATATGCTTCTACAATAAATATTTGTGCTTCATTTCAAATTTAAACTATACTGTCATAAAATCTTTGAGACCCCTTGACAAAGCCTTTGGCTTTAGCATTTTTCCTGGCAGTTTCTAGAAACTATTCTTACTTGTACTATTCTTTTCAGAGCTTAGAATTTTGTGATAATATAGAAAATTTCTTGAGTACTTAAAAGTCATGAGTTCTTATCGAAGATGTGTCTATCAGTTACTTTTATGCGCAAGTAGTACACTTAGCCGATCGACTTTTAGTTTATTATGTTGTTGCTGATAAGAAATTTCATTCGTAGAAAAAAGATGGGAATTTCTTTAATGATATGAACATCATATTTCCGCTTTCCTTTTGAAATGCGAACACGTCGGAATCAAATACCATGTTGTGACATTCGAAAGTGCCACTACAGTCACAGAGAGAATATGGCACGAGATTAATTTATATGCTCTGTTTGCACTTAATTTTCATGAGAACGCAAGTTGATTAGCACTGTTTTGTGTTCGTCACAGTCATCGAGTCACCTAGTTGACAACACTTGAGAAATCATATGACATTACTGAAGTGATATGAGTAACCCTCAATCTATTCAGATCGGTTTGTTAGTCAGTGTATCTACTCCGTGTCGCAAGATCCACGCATTTTGGGGGCGATTTCATGCGCCTTTATATAAATCACAATGCACGCCACTCAATTTTGTATTTTACTTTTGATGATTTTATTCTTAGTCTAGGAATCAAGTCAATGCCTTTTAGCTATAATTATTGTTGAGGACAATTGGTAAAAGTTTTTTTAAAAATCCAAACTTTATCGGTGAGTGCGGTTGAATAAAAGTGGGGACACTCCATTTTCAAATGTGGCTATTTACGTGGGAGGGTGGATCTTTGAATTAATTTTGTTCCGATCTCAGTTGTAATTTAAGACTGCAAATTAATTCATATTTTCAATCATGTATACGGTCGAAATCAAGTATTTCCTACCAAATTTAACGCATGTACAAAGTTTCAAGTTTTGTTGAGTACGCAATGGTCCCCCCCCCCCTCGCAGAACATCTTTTAGGTCTCAATGGGGCTCAAATATTGAAAAATATTTGCCAAGGAAATGCAACCAGATTCCAAAATCGATTAATCTTTCAAATTCAATTTACAAGATAATGCGAAGTAGTTAAACAAACGAATTAGGAGGAGAGACATGAATTCAATTAGTCATAAAAATTTGCATGACCAACTTTTAAGGAAGAAAAATGTATATGCTTATCAAGTACTTTGGAAAAAATTATTTATCGAAGCAGATTAATTGCTTACACAGACCACTCAAGGCTTCTGAGTCACGCCCTGTAAGCTCAAATAATAGACCCCGCTGGAGGTGAATTTCAATAACTAGAAATATACACTGAGTAATAAGGGAACAATTAGGACACGCAAAGATCTATATTTAACTTTGCCCGATAATGGAGAATCAATTGTGTCCCAAGGTTGCACATCAAGTGTTAATTTTGTATGGTTACATTTGCAAGGGCATAACTAGCCACGAATTTACATTCATTAGCAAGTTTTGAAGAACAATATTGAGAAATTCAACTTTTCTTCCACGGCTTTGATTTAGAATCAGCTACCAACTTTTCAAGCAAAATAAGTTGTTAGCTGACTTGCCCATCTACTTCCCATAACTGTAATCAAAATGGCGCCCTACTTGATCTGTTCATTTCTGATTTGAATTTGGTGAATCAGTAACAGTTGTCTACCTTTAACTGATTAAAATGAGACTTTTCACGTACAAATTAAAAAGTTCGCTTTAGGTTTATTAAGAAGTCCCTTACATACTTCTTATATGCTTCGTAATACTATGAGATTACTGCAACAGTCAGCTTTCCTACAGTGGGGATTCACAATGGAAGACATAGCGCTATTCTATGATACATCTTTACTCTTATTTCACAGACACTTGAACATCTGCGTTGTAACTTTAAATAGATAATGAATATCACTTTGCTATTAGATATTGATCAACATTGAATAAATTGATAAAGTGAGCTTTCTTTTCCACTTGCTTAAATGTTTTTCAAAATCCTTGATTTAGGTATCCGATGCTCTTTGCGTCCTTCTCTCAGACATGCTTCTCATTTGCAAGCAGTCTATTACAAAAAGACATCTAAGTGTCTACCGCCCACCCATCTTTCTTACTCATTTGACAATCCAAAAAAAGAAGGACAGTAAGTCTCATTTTGGTTGCATTGTTTTAACACATTGGGATCTGATAAGTCTCCTTTGTTATTTAGGTCCGGACTGTTATGTCGCCCTTATAAGAAATGATTACGGTCTTTTGGTAGATTGTTATGTTTTCTCAAGTGAGGAAAAGGACTTAGAGGAATGGGTTTCTAAAGTTCTAAGACAGAAGGTAAGGGTCCATGACCTTTTAACCTCTTAATACTCTCATAAGCACGTGTTAAATATCCTTTTATATTCTCCTGATAGGCCGATTTGCTATCTGCTCCACGACCAATCTCAGTTGGTCGGGATTCCGTTAGTGGTCCTTCATACCTACATTCCACAGTAACTAGTGTCCCAGATGGATCTTCACGTCATGCGGAAAATACAATCCGGTCGGTCTTCAATGACAATCATCTAGGTACTTTCAATGGCCATTATGAGAGTCGAAGAAATAGTGAAGTTGGTAATCCGCGATATCATCACACCCCAACTGACGTGAGTTCAACAGTTATCGGCCGTCCACAACAACTTCTAGATGGTCCTATTAGACTAATTCCAGTTCGAGCTCGTCGTAAATCGATCCTCACTCCTAATCGTGACAATGGCGATGCTATTTCTCCCTGTACTGAAAATGTCTCAGTCGACAAGACAAGGAGTGAAGCCTGTCTGAAGTCACTGGTTAGTAAAAGCATTAGTAGTGCATCAGATTCTTCAAATACCTCAAATTCAACGGCATCATCAATAAATACAACATCTGGTGATTCTTTAGGATGTTGGGCTTCTGAAGCTCCTGGCTCAATGAGTGGAATTTCTCCAAAGATTACCCGTCATTCCTTAGGACGAGTACCCTTTCGGAATACTGAGTTACTTAAAACTGATGCCGGGGTAGCTAAGAGACAGACGAGTTAAAGATAATGAAGATGTCTTGTGAAATATGATACTATTTTTAAATGTAATAAAACGCAACTTTGACTGTTTAACTGACTGGCTGCTTTTCCCGGTCGCTGTTTTAAAAAAAGAAATTGGCCCTTTCTCTTTAAAGTCCCTTATCACTTTCTCTCTTTCTTGCTTTTTACAAAATGCCCTCTTCTCTGGCAAAATATTTTTAAGTTGTATTTGATTGATTCTATCTCTTGATTATGATGATGAATAAACAAAAAAATGGAGTTTGTGGTGTCGAAGACAAGAGTTGTTTTCGCAATGATGATGCCGAAATATTTGGAATTCACTGGAAGAACTGAAAAGGTAATATTCCCATTTTAAAAGCAGGCCAATGGATGTCTGCCCGTAAGAAAGTCTAGTGACTGTGTAACAGGTTAATTAGGACTGAATGTTGGTCGGGAGTAATTGGATCATGGGGCTTGCTTAGACATGACACCACCGATGGCATTTCTAACTATTAGTCATTTAATGAAAGAAATAAGGGAAAATGTTGACACGAATGCACAATAACAATAAAAATGAATGGAAAAATCAATTATAACGCAGTTTCCAAAATAATGCCGAGGTATGTTAGTGAAATTAAAATTTTTTTTCAAGACTTATTTATAACAAATGGCAGGCGTTTTGATAGTTATCGTTAGTCCTTTAGTTGGCTTCGGGCTTCACAGAGGGGAGGAGAAACATCGAATTTAAGAAGAATTTGGGAGGGAAAACAGAGGAGTGATTCACAGATGTAAAAGAAACAGACAGACACCAAGGCTCAGAATGGGTAAGATGAGTACTGTGATAGGGGTCGAATATAACATAGAGTGAGGTGATGGTATTTTAAAGTCAGAAGTCAACTGCCAGTTAATAGACTTTTTGCCGTATGATTATACGTTGCCTAGGGTGCACCACGTGGAGGTAAGTCTATCCCACAGCCCTTTTTTCAAGAATTTACATTTCTATAAGTAAAAGTGACAAACCTGAGACATTAATTTTTAAATAACCTGTAAGACGGAAACATGAAATTTTTGTTGGGAAGGCATACCAAAGAGCAGTTTCAAAGCCAATGGTCCAAAATCGGTAAATCAATAATAAGAGAAGGAGGTGAGTGGGCGTTCGTCGGGATGTGCAGGCGAAAATTTATGAATGCATTCAGGTGGGCGAGACTCGGTAATTAGAATAAGTTGCTCGATTTCAATGAAGTTAATGGAAAAGTTAGGGAAGCATAAGTAACAAAAAGTAGGGGAAAGCTGAAATATGGAAAAATTCATGCAAATTTAGCGAGAGAGCAAGCAATTAAAAAAAGCGATAGGATAAGTGAATTCTGTGATGGAGGTCATAATTTAGTTTACTGGACACATATCGAAAGGAATGTCTCATTGAACGGGAGTAGTAGAATTTGAGTATCTCACCAGGGAAGCTCCCTGATGAGATTCCTCTAAACGGATAAAAAGTTTCATATATAATCTCTTTGAAAAGAGTAATAAGCTTTCCATTTTTTGTTTAAGATTACGACAAGGGTTGATAATGAGAGAGTTGACAATAAATAAGGCGTGTAGATTTTGTTCAATACCATGGGTTGGTGAGATTATATATGGATCAATAGAATCAACTTTAGAACACATGACTATCAAATTAGATTAATTTGGTTAATTAATAAAACTATTACATAAATTAATGGCAATTCACCGTTATCTCAGACTTGCAGTTGAAAATAACACAATGAAAGCGTGAATGAAACACGCATGATTGAAGATAATCCCGTGATTGATATAGTGGGACATTTGATAATAAATTGCTTGCGTCGTTTGCATAAAAATTAAGCAAAAACCGAAGGTAGTGTTCTCCTAGTATCTTCAATAAAAATTCAAGTAATTATTGAAAGATATTCGAATAACAAGATCACAAAATAAGAAAACGAATAGAAAGTTAACATCCAGTGATTGGAATCTCTACAACTTGCCGAGAATCCTCCATATTGCAATCATTTAACGGTGTAAATAAATTTTTAAGAGTTTTAATTAAAGCATTTTAACTTAATTGGTCGTTTCCTGAAGCTTCTAAGTTGAGTTTGGTTGAATTGTGCCAACACATGGTTTAAAGGAAATTTCAGGGTATTTTAGCCAGTTCAAAATGTTGACAAACGACCACGAGATTTGACAGCACTACTAATCCAATTTAGAAGTAGCATATTCAGTAAAATTGTTGTATGTCCCTTTTTGGTGCTGCTTAAATTTGGTTAAGAAAATTTCCATTAAAAGAAAAACGCTTTTGAATTAAAGATATTCTGTCAAATTACTAGGAAACTCGAAGAATTTAAGCCTTGATTTAAAACATTGCTGCATAAATCCTCCATAAATCCTCCATCTTATCATACACAGATGAATCTCAGCATCAAACCCGGAAAAATGCTACCTTTTGACTAATACTACTGAGTAATTCAGCTTCAGGTTATGTAGTTGAAGATATTCTTAGGGAAAGCGTTGGTGTAAGGCTTCCAATATCCTGATAACATAGTGCTGAATGAGAGGGCGCGTGGCGTTCAGATGGTAAAAGTTGATTCATTGAAAGTTTGTTAAGTGAAAGGAATTCCCCCCCCCCCCACAAAAAAATAGAAGATGAATCAAGTGACCTAGATGCACATGAGTTTGCGATAATGAGGTGAAAGAAGTCGTGGCTTCTTCCCATTGGTGCTTTGTGTTTAACTACGTCACCAAATGGACTAATTTTTCGTCAAAGAAAACCTACCTGAATAGAAGTTTTACAAATAATAATTTGGTTGTGTAGGATACTGAGAGGTAGCAACTTCCATTCAAGGCTCATGTGAGTGATTTTGTATCTTCAACTGAGTGTGAACCACATGAGGTTGCGTGGTAGTTCCAAAGGAATTAAGCGCTCCAACTTCATGTCTCAGGTACTTATTTCAAATGGCAGGCGTTTTGAGAGTTATCATTAGCCCTTTAGCTGACTTCGGGCTTCACAAGAGGGAAGGAATATCAAAGTGACAGAAAGTCGAGGGATGGGAAACAGAAGAGTGATTTACAGTTGTAAAAGAGACAGACACAAAGGCAGAGAAAATGTAGGATGATTGCTGTGGAAGTGGTAGAATATGGCATCCAGTGGGGTTTTGGTAGTTTGAAATCAGAAGTCAACTGCCAGTTAATAGAATTTTTTGGCACATGAGTATATGTTGCCCAGGGTGCACCACGTGGAAGTAAGTCTATCGCACACCCCATGTCTCAGATATAATTACTTCGCCTG